CAACTATGGGCCATCAGCAGATGGAAACCTACTCTGTGAACTAAGCGATAAGACCCATTCACAAGTCCCTGCCAATGACTTAAAGGCAAAAGAAGATTATATCTACTGTCTAATCACAGCTGTAAGTAATGTTAAAGTCTTTCCTATTGACTCCATTGTAAGGAAGTAGGTATCCGCTTATCTCCATTCACAAACGAGTCAGGGCTTGTAGCAGCATATTCTAAAAATTTCATGCTACCAATTTATGGTTAGATGTTTACCTAACCGAAGTTTCTTCCGAATATTTGGCTGCTTCAAATTATACCCCACAATCCGGAGTAGCATAGACATTCGAGAACAGTCTGTTCTTATCGTAGATATATAATCTCGTGTTAACTTCTAGAACGCTTGCCAAAGCAGTCCATGTAAACTTAACTCGACATGTCAAGCAGGATTTGGGGCTCATGGATACCGATGCATTTGTCCAGAGGGTTATCATGGGGAAACTTGTGAATTAGGTGAGATAATCCACATACACATGCATTTCAGTTGCTTTCGCTTTTTATTACTTCGTTACACTTGACATAAGACAAAAATTTTCTTTGAAAATAACTATTTAATTAAATAATTCTTGTCCAGATGTTAACGAATGCGCGGTGGCTACTCACGACTGTTCTCCGAACGCTGATTGTTCAAATGTTATGGGATCATTTCACTGCAATTGCAAATCTGGATATAGTGGTGATGGTAAAACTTGTCAAGGTACGTGTGGTCCAGTTTTCAAGTATTGCAAAATGTTGCATTCATAAAGCAAATTCTTCAAATATCTATCACTCACTGTACTGACGTGATTTAACTTCCAGCTTTTGGCTCCACTAAGGAACTCGCTGTTTCCTCTTGCAAGTCTCTATCTTCATTCAACTTTCCCAGTGGTGTCTATTGGCTCGATCTAGATAGCGGGTCCCGAGACAACTCCTTCAAAGCTTACTGCGAGATGGAAACTGATGGAGGAAACTGGACATTGGTTTGGAGTTACACCTTTACTAACTACTCAAATTTTCAAGCAAGCTCTAATGCAATAACACCCCGACCCAGTTGGCATGTCTTCATACCAAGTCGCGTAGACGTCACCATATCTAAAAACCCACCCTTGAGTGAAACGGACTTCAATGCGTTCGAATTTTCTAAATGGAAAATTTTTGGAGAGGAAATTTTGGTCAAAAGCAACATCAACAATTGGATCATTTGCTCATCTGGAGACGGAAATCTAGCCAAGTGGTCGGACGGGCCTGTAAATTGTAAGATCATCAAGAGCATCACTGAACATTGCCCAGATGGGCCGCCACCCACACATTTTCTACGATATTTTGGCAGATACTGTGGACCAAGTTTTTTTAGTGATTCTTTTCATTATTACTTTGATGGCTGCACAAGGTATAACTGGCCAACGCATGACCCCTGCGGGCAAAACTCTGACAGAGGACTGAAGAATATACAAAATCCACACGGAAATGTATTTATTCGCTGATTCTTTGATACTCTTCAGATCACTTTCGCATCAGCCTTACACTGGATAAGGTTGTGCTTATCAGCAGTGATCACAAACTGCTTGCTACAGTACCAGTTTTAGATGAAGTAGTTTAAGGCGTTCATCATTTTATAGGGGTTATAATCTTCCATTCTTTAATAACACTGATATTAGGTTAGAAGACGGGTAAATGAGTACCCCCTTGTTTCACGTCGTCCACCGTGTCCATCATGTCCTTTACATTTACATCTAAAATTATCTTCTCAGCACGCAATGCAAGACACAAGGAGGACCTGAGACTCCCAGAGGTGTAGCTTGGGAGGGAGGGGTCCTGTGGTGGTCGTGAACTCCCTCTTTGTAAGCCTTTTTTATGTCACATGCATTAGGTAAAACACGGCGTAAAGGTCGACATGACAATCTGGTGAGTACCCTCTGTTTGACACGATGTGACCCTCCCCTCCCACCTTTATCAAAATCCTGAGTATACCCCTGGATTCCCCCTTGTGTTCCAAAGACTGAAAGCAAGCAAAGACCACACCACCAGGCTTATAAAGTCTATGTATTAATAAATAGGATCTTCACTGTTTCATATTTAGTTTATTTTTCTTTTATTATCAGCATCCATGTAAGACAAATTTCTTTCTTGTATCCTTTTTTGTTGTTTCTTTCATCATCATCATCGTTATAACTAATATAATAATAATTATTATTACCATTATGATTACGTGATGTACAAACGATAGCATCCTGAGTTTTGAAACTATCTTTTATATCTACTTTCAAAAGAACATGCCTTCAAGAGGTTGACATTTTGTTCATATAGTAACATTTACTTTTTGTCGGTCAAATTTTAAAACCAAAGGTACTTGCATAAAACGCGAGATACAGTAGTCTAATAGAAAAAACATTAAATCGTTCCAGCAGGCAAGAAAAATTGAACTATTGGAGGATTAGAGTGAAACCTTAGTCTAATCATTACGAAACAACACAGAACACTGTTTTGAACCATGTTCGAGCATTGCTGCTTCGTGATTCCACAACATTTTGACCGCTGTGATAAGAACAATGTTGTCGATGAGAGCACAGAACACGTTAAACCAATGTCGATTTGTTAAATAGAACTTAAGCACTGCCATTACCAATTTGTAAGCATTTTAATGTATGATAAGGATAATAAGAGATGAAATGCAGTGTGTTATTAGTTACGTTGTGTAAAGGACCTGTTTTATAATGTTGGCAGAATATCTCTATAAAATGCAAAAATATGTAAGGAAATGAAGAACGTTTCACCATAGAGGTTCAATTTTTCAATCAAGTTTTCATTTATCTATAAACGTGATAATTAATTATATATCCGTGATGATAACTGCTCTGCTACCGTTAACAGTTTCCAGCACTAGCAAATGCCAAACAAGTCTCTCAAATATGGGCTTAACGAACGTACAGATTCCAACTTCCTATTCATTTAAGAGAGAATTATCTTCGCATTTCGTTAATTTCTATGAAGTTTTACTAATAATTGCTGTATTTTGCAATTTCTGTTATTTGTTTATTTTATTGATAAAAATTCATTGTAAAAATTATCTATGTATTTGTTCCGTAATCGTTTTCTTTTAATTAGGTGTATATATGTAAATAATTCAGTTGAATACAGCAAGGCCTCTTTCCTCGTTAAATGGTGCTAGTTTAGCTTTATAAATATTTTCAGTAACCAGCAGCTGTATGTATTGTCAATTCATTTACTGTTTAATTAGTTACTTTAAAGTACAAATTGACCTTGCTGTTGTTGCTGTTACATTTAGGTTGACACTTTTGAGCCAGGTAGCCATTACCGGCATTCGCATCAGTGCATTCGCTCTGAAGAAAGACTAACGCTCGAAACGTCAGCTTAGAAACTCTTTATGGTGGCCAATTTTCATTATCAAACAAGCAAATAAGTCCAAACTTATCTTAATATACTCCCCACTGACACAGCACCACAGTTTCTTTACAAACTACTCCCTTTTACTACTAGCACTGCTTATCCTGGTTCCCGTAAGCTAAACTCTTCAGTCGTAATTAATCGCCTGTCAATTCCCCAAGTTTCTTTGACTGTTTGCTGGTACTCATTTACACTCCTGCGTGAAGGGGAACACTGTGAGACCAAAATGCCTCGTTCGAGACCAAGTCACAATGACTCGACTAGCTAAAATGGACATTTCAAACAGTCTTCAACATGTACCTAGTCATTTGTACTTACCCTCAAATAGATGCAAGATACAGTACAGCTACCTCAAGTAGCAACCTGAAATTGCATAGTCTATCGCTGGGAGATAATATCTGAAAAACACACTAAATGCTATTTCATTATTAGGTTTTTTTTTCTTCAATCGATTCCAACTGCTTCTCTGTCGCTGAGATAAGAGCCCTCATATAAGAGACAAACACGAAGCGGTTCCTCCTAACCGGTAATTCTCTTTTAACTGCTTTGCCAAGATGCATGCAGTAACCTTTAAGTTTAAAATTTCCTGCATTCAACAAACTATTCCAAGGTAATTTTCATTTATGTGCATTTCTAATCAAGTATAGCACTTAGGTCTTTTCTTTAGTTTTTGTTTTATACCCTCACTACTTTGATCTTAAAAGGAAAATTCGAAACAGAAAAGCTATATTAACGACGAATGGAAGGAGACGTCGTGCAAAAAGATGTATCTATTTATCTCTTGATAATCATGTATTTGTAATCATTAGTATTCCAGGTATCCTAACTCTTTTTATACATTGCCAAAAGGAAGGGAAACCGGAACTTCACATCGCTCCATAAATTTGTACTGCTACCTCAATTAGATGACCAAATAGATGGAAGGAGATATCTTTCAATAATAGTTTGGTGTGCAAAAAGTTTTCAGTTTTAACGTACTCATTCTCTGTTTTGTAAGAATTTCCAGTGTTAATATGGATTATCTTCGCTTCCAATTAGAGCAAGGAGATTACATGGGGATTTTAGCACGCAAACGTTAAAGACAGCATTTCCTCAGGGCACAATTGTATTATGACGAGGGCAAATAATGCAAAATGTTCTTCACTAAAGAAAAAGCGTGGAGTAAGCTTGAAGAGCGAAAAGTTCACTTAATGGATTCTCGACAACTTCCTAACTTGATGCAGTAATGTAAAAATTTTATCTGGATAGCCTTCGACGTTTCCTGTGCTTTTCAAAGGAAAATTTGTAGCAATATAGATATATTTTCCTGTGGTGAATAATTAAAAAACGATAATTAAACCACAAGTAATGTAGCTAATATGGTTCCCTCATAGCAATACGTTTGTTGTTACATCACACCGGTTACACTTAACCTGTCAGCCAATCAGGTCGAGTCTTATCGTCTCTCAAATTAATAATGCAAAGTGTTCACGGTGCTTAATCACCTGTTACTAATGTCACTTTTTTCATATCCTCCCTAGGAGCTTTTTCCGAAATACGAGTATGTGGTGTTTAAAAAATCCCTAGAAATAACAAAATGAAGAGTGTTACCACGCAAAATATCGAATCACTGAGCCACGAGGCAAGCATCGCCAAAACGTCTGTGCATAGATGGAAAACATTACAACACCGCAGGGCAGCAAAATGTGCCGAAAACCATAAATTTGCCAACAGTAAGTACTTATTTCGATTGCCTCTCTTGTTGTTTTGATCATGTGTCCATGAAGTTGTTTACAAGAATTTTGTGTTTAACAGATGCAAAAATAAGCATCTAGAGCTTTAAAATCCCATTTATTTACTGATTTGTTTGATAAGACCACGGTTCTCCAACGCCTAAATTACATGGGTAAGCTAGCTATTGCTATAAACACTATAAGGAAAATTGCCTAAATCAATATCGTATGATCTGTTTATAGTCGGAGAGTCCATCGATATTATGCAAAAGGGAGCATTGGTCATAAAATTGCGAAGTTCATCCAAGAAATATCCACGAAAGTTCTTCCTTGATCAACAATCTTTAAACATCCGTTGGACACCTTCCAAAAAGGGAGACCGTGCGAAAAGTAAGTCAAAGTTTCAATTTAACGTTAATTTAACTCAAATATATGCTACTGTAAAACAAGATGTCGTAAGCGTGAGTTTGAATTTAGATTTTTTTTTTTCATCTCTCAGTTATTAAGATAAAAGCCAAAATCAATTTACTCGAGCTTGCGTATGAAGAGATTTTTTAGATGAATTTAAAGACTCTGCTTTGAATTGTTACTAATTTTATCTTTTTTTTTCTTCTTTTGTGGTGGTACACGCTAAAAGAGAAGGCAAAGATTTTGCATAAGATGTTATATCTTCAAACTTACTGTTATTTGCATTTGTTATAATGCCTTCCTTAAAGAAAAGTTTTTGAAAAAAATTGATTAAGAGTATTAGACTGTGACCCCTCTCACGCTTAAAGAAATATTTAAAATCTAGACAGAAAGTATTTACGCGTATAGATAAACATTTAAAAAACGCAAAAGAGATATTTCGCATCTTGATTAGTTGTTTGGAATGGGATAGCTATCGTTCAAATGGATTTGAGAAAAAGTTATTAATTTTGAAACAAAATAGTTGTATTCTTCGACTGTGAATATATGAAAGTAGTATTCTTCACAGTTGAGTCTGTGTATATAAGGGAAAATTTTTTTATTATAAGAAGCAAGGCATGTCTGTTTGATATAATTCTATTTTCCATAAATGTAGAAAAGACTTAGCCACTTTTGATTAATAATTGATGAAGGATTGGCCCTCACGTTGAACCTTTTTCCTTATCTATTTACAAGAAAAGTATAAAATGAAATAGCTTACCCCACTTGAAGTTCTATGCATTTATCGAAAGAGATGAATCTCAATTTTGCTATAATTATTACGCGTTGGGAAGGTTTAATAAAGCGTAATGCTATTACCCGCCACTGATTCGAAAATCCCTCGAAATGGTCGCGTAATGGAATAAACTGGATTTTGTGCTTAATAAGATTAATTATGTCGCACTTTACTAACACATATAAAACCAGACTTCAAGGTGTACGAAAGCCATGAGAAGGGTAAATGTGCTGTAATCAACCCGACTCAAGAATAAGAGGAGGCGCTAAACTAACTCTTAGTAAGGTGCAGCTACTGAAGAAGTCATTAGTCTAAGTAATATGCCCAGAGGATCCCAACCAAATATCCACTCAAAAAAGAGATCTTCATGTTCTCTCATACAACAAGTACTCCTTAAACATCCGTGGGCCGCCAACTGAAATGAAAGTAGAAAACTACAACTTCGTATCGCAATTTTTAAGGTTAGAAACATCACTCCTAATGAAAAACACTTCTCAGAAAAAATCATATAAACAACACTACACAAGAGTTAAAGTTGAACTCATTTAAATACGCGCAGAAATAAATAATATACATGTTTTTTTCCTTCAATTTTCTGCTCGGCTGTTAATGATAATTCCTTAGAAGTATTGGTAGCCGCTTTCCGTCAACTATCCGTGATTGTTTCAAGCTCTCATCCTCCCGACTGGTCGCCTGAACTGTCATTCATTTATTCATCATCATCACTAATTTACCATTAGTGTTTTATGCTCACAAGTTTTAATCTCATGCTAAAAGGGTGGCAATTTGGGATTGATGTTTGCTCGCATGGCACTTGATTCTCTACGTTAGTAAGACCCTTTACACACGTAGGTGCGACCCAAATGCCCACGATGTGTTAACAAGATGAAACTCAGGTAAATATGTATCCTAAATGTTATGTCTGAAGCAAACAAAAGCTTCGATTAATGTGTTTTATTTGCATATTACTAAACTTTTAGCCCGTCTGGAAATTGGACTTGGTGTCGAATTAAGTTAACAGGCGCTCAAACAAAACATTTAACAAACTCTTGGAATCGCATCAAGAGTACTTACTCTCATTTTTCGCGCGTATATCGCAATAATGGCATAATTTGTTTCTTCTAGAAGCTAACTAGAAACCCTGACGTTGCAAGAAAACTCGCGAATTTCGTGTTCGCCTTCGCTCGCGTTAGTATTTCGTTTCTTTATTTTTTCGTTATCTGGGACAAAATGACCTTACATCCGACTTACTCAGTCTCCAATGTCTCCAAATTTTCTCAATCGTTGACTGAAATTTCCAACTAACGAGACATAAGCCTAAGCGTTGCATGCGTCACCTGCTTATCATAGTGTCTGAAAGTCATAACCTCATCGACATAATGCACACCTGCTAAGCAAAGCAGAAGAATTAGGCCGTTTTAAACTTGCTTCTTTCATCTCAATATTTTCCGTTAAATTGCAATACAGTTGTCTTCTAATATTGCTGACCTTTCTATAATTCTGGTCAAAAGTTGTTGGGATGCAACAACTTTGTCATGCATACCCAGACCCTTGAACAAAAGATATGTTTTCCATATTGTAAAATTATTCTCATGAGAGCCTTCTAAGCTTTTCTCATACTCCTCTCCCTTCCCTGAATAAAATTTGAAAACAACTGCAGCTTTTGTCTTGGCTTTAAGCCGTAAAAAGATATCTAAAAACAAATGCAGCTTTTGTCATGGTTGTAAGCCATAACGTTTCCGGTACTCTTACCAACATTGCAGATCAAGGGGGTAGAGGGTACTTCCGGATGCAAGGCTCTAAAATCTGTTGATTTTACCACCGCATAGTTCTCCCTGTCTAAAGACTTTTTTTCAAGGGTGGTAGATCTAAACATGTACCTACTAATTGCCTCTCTTTCAGTTCCACTGGCGTCTGTGAGGGAAGTTCGCGAAGGTTTCACAACGGATGCCTTCACTCAGTGCCCAGAGGTTTACTCAGAAAATAGCTGCTTTTCTATTATCCATGGGGATGAGTTTTCCACGCTTGACTTAGTTTTTCAAACTCAAGAAGAATTTTTGCATTGGACTGTGGGCCTTCGTTACTTGTTGGCTAAGAGATCAGGTACAGTATACTTACACGACACGACACATGCAACATATCAGTTTTTAAGTGTTTTAATGCAGTTATGGGTCTATTCGCATTTTGGCTTCAAAAGACTCTTTATTTTTTGAAATTTGCCTTCGACGGTGAAAAAAAATTGCAAAGTCTCGCCAATTTAAATCATGTTCACCAACATGGCTAGGAACCGAGGAGCGAGTCTCTCCTGTCTATTCACGTTCTCTCAGCAATCTCTTTGAAACAAATCAGAAGTTACAAAATTATGCATAAAGGCGTTGTTGAGTCAAAGTTTTTGCATAAACAAAGCAGCTGCAGATACTTTCCCGCCAATTCAGTTTGACTCAGCGACGTCCAGCGTGTACGGCCAGGTTCCTAAGTTTTATTTTGATAATGGCAGCGTTTGGCGTGTCTTAAACATATTAGCACGTATTGGAGACAATTTTCGAACGACTGTGCCCTCTTTACATCATCAAACCGGGTAAGAGAAAAATTATGATAGATAGTTCTTAAAGACTGAGATAAAAACCGTATGGTTTCGGAAGGGTACTTCTCTCTTGGTGTTTTTTGATACCGAACGACACAACTGGTATAGTCAGTGAAGTAGTTCAGGGGTTGATAACTTTTTAAAAATCAGTTTAGATGGGTTAAGGGTTATAGAAGGGGCAGCTTAGTGGCCAAAAAGGGAATGGAAATAAATTCGAAGCTTCTTCATAAGATTTGAATGATATTGCTCTTGTGCTTGAGTCCGGGTTATGGTTAATATACGCGCTGATGCTTTGCCGCTTGACAAGGTTTTTTCGTGGTGAACAATTGACGGGAATTTATACCTCAAGGCGAAATACTATCCTCTACAATAACTAATATATAGATTTAGCCAAGCCTAAAAGCCGAGCTCTTATTAGTTTATTTTCCAGCCCTACGTTACACTGAATAAAAACTGTAATAAAACTACTGGCAAGTCTTTGTATTATATTTCAACCCAACAATTTCCTCAACATATAAACACTATTACAAAGTAATTAGTCAGGGAAATGGAAAACTTGTGGCATATACACCATGTTTGAAATGCCATGACCATAGTAAGCTAACAGGATTGAGGAGGATGTATGTGGGAATTGGCCCTCTTGTCTGTGAGGTTGAGTGGTTATAAGTATTAGTGTTAATTAGAATACAACTGCCTTTTTGGTCTAAAATGTGATGTTACAGTAAAAATGAGAAATGGAGGACCTGGGAGACCAATACATTGTATTGATTGAAATCTCTAATAACTGATCCCCCCTCCCCCCTAGACTTTGATTAAGAGGGGAGTAGTTACTCTACGAAAAACATGAAAAAAACCAGTGTTCTCATTTCTATGAATTGCCTTTTTACTGAATGGCACGTAGCTTGATGGTCTTGAAAACAGAGAGACTAAATAACAATTGAAACCCTGTCATCAAACTAATGCCTCTTTCATTCTTACATTATATTACTTCATCTCCAATTCTTAATTCTTTAACTTCAGTATCACTTCTAATCTTAAACTAGTGACTAATACTTGTTCTAACCTTACATTATTGCCTTTTCACTGTCTCATCTACCCTTTTGCACACTTCACTCTCTCCTTAGGAATCTTTCCAGGTAGGTGTCTCTAATTATTTCATGTTTACTGGCCTGTCTTGCCAGCTTCAATTCAACTTATAACTATAATTTAATTTAATACCTCCACTTATTTGCTTGTTTGTTTATTAATGCACTTTTTTGTTTTGTTTTTTGTTCATGTTCTTTGCAAGCTTTAAGACTTCAAGTAACTCCTTATTAAGATGTAACATGTCTTTTCCCACAATTACCAATTGGGATGTTTCCCAGGTCTTTGATATATAAGATTACAGGTGTAAATGAATACATAAACAAATAAATGAATAAATAGCCAAGTGCTTCTGGCAAAACCAGAAAAGGTGGCCACTTCTATTTAACTTCTCCATAATGCCACATTTCTTTCAAAGTGTATTTAAAGAATGTTAATTCATTTATAATTGTAGATAAAAGTCAGTGATATCCACATGTATATGAAGCATCTGTTTGAGGCAGGCAGCTATTTCTTGGGTAGAAATTTTTTTTCCCACACTGAAAGACAAGATATTACCTGCAAGTAATAATCTCTTCATCAAATTGATACAATGAAACATAATGGATTAACCTTATGTTGCAGCTGAAGATGAACCACTGCGGCGGCAGACCTCCCGAGACCAGTATCCTTTTTTAGACTAAGGAGAGACCTAATTTTTTTTTTCATTGTAGTGGCCACTATCCTTTACTTTTTTTTTGGCTGATATGTTTCTATTTCTCTTCTTTTGTTGGCCATAATTCCATGTGAATTCCCAAAGCCCAAATCTTTTTCCATAGTACCTTACTCTGATGTATTTTCTCCAAAATTGAAATCTCAACTTTTTCCATGCACAGAGTCAGAGTTAGTTTTTTGTTTTGTTTGTCTGTATTATTGCTGTTTTGTTTTCAAGTTTTGTTCCTTGCTGTGTTCTCCTTCACAATTGTGTAGATGGTTAAAAGAGGTTTTTCTCTCAGCGGACAAAAGTGGAGATGGTCTCTTAAGCGTTGATGAAGTCTTTTCTTTGATGCACAAACTCAATGTTAAAATATCAAATAGGAAATTACGAGAGACATTTAAGGTGTGTGTGTGTGTATTTCAGTCTTTCCTTTTACCAGATGACCTGATACTTCAGTGAAAGTATTGTTTGTATTTTTGGTTGTGGTTTACCTAGAATTTTTTGGATGTTAGACTGTGTGATTTTTAACCATTGCCAGTATTCCCTCAATTATGATCATTTTAGGACACCTGTAAGCAAAAGACTTCTTGTTTGACAATTATAATTGCAGCAGTATGTCATACAACCAAAAATGGCCCCTTGCTGAAAATAAAAAACTGCAGTTTTGCTTGAACTTGTTTCCAGTTTTTGTTCATTTGGTGCTTGTTGGCCAATTTTTTTCTAAGGAAGCTTCCCGTTATTAGACATTTTCATTGGTTTCATGACATCTTGTTTAAGCAGTCAAGGCTTCATTTAATAGTGGTATTTATATAGTTTGTTTTAGCTATGGATGGAAGATTCTCAGTTACCAATTGAACTCTTATAGTTTGATTATGTGGGTCAGTCATTTATGCAGGGTCATGAAAACCCAGCCTTAATGGTCATCTTGCCAAGGCAGCATTGCCTAGTAGACTAAAGGACAAGTGTTATGTTACAATAGCTTTGTATTCGAGGTGAATATTCATTAAAAATTTTACTTCCTCAAGCAGCTTTTATAGATAAATGTAAAGCTTTGTGACCTAGTTGGTATTAGTTTTCATTTACAACTGAAACCTCAGAGACTATTTATTTACCCTATTACCCTATATTCTTATAATTTGGCAATATTTAAATTTTTTTACCTTTATTATTATGCCTCGTTTGTTAGCTTGATAAACAAGTTTGTTTGCAGATGTGTTGGTTTGCCTATTTGTTGCAATTTTATTTGATATGAGCAACTTTAATTGTTTCAACCCCAGGCAGCAGACACTGATGATCAAGATTCTGATGGTTTACTGGATTTCAATGAGTTTATTAACTTTTATAAGAGCATATCGACCAGGAGGGAGCTCTACCTTCTGTTATTAAAGTAAGTTTGAATACTTTTAAAATATCTAAAGCTGTGATGCATATCCTTCCTTCTTAAATAAGCCCTCTGAATCAACATAGAACTACATTTGAATTCTCAAATGAATGCTTTTGAACGATCCTGCATGCACCATTTTGGTAAAAGTCTGCTGTTGGGAGATACTCAGGGTGTTTGAACAGGCTTTTATCAGGAGCCACGGTTGCACAGCAATTAAGAGCTTCCATAAAAGCAAAGTTATACAGCCTAGTAGCCTGGTAAAGTTAGAGTCACTTGGGATCTACTTGAGAGAATCCTAACTGTGAATAGAATGTTGAACTGATAAGACTGAAACTCAGTAAATCTCTGGCGCATAAAATCCAGAGTTAAAAGCGTTAGCTCTTAATGAGAATAACATTAATAAGGAAAACGAAATTTAGGTTTCATTAGCATGTAGGATGGTGGTAACCTCATTTTATTAAAAAATGTTGTCAGATATGGGAATAGTAAGGAGCACATGACGGTAGCTGAACTAAAAGTTTTTTTAGAGAAAGAACAGCAGGTACGTATTAAATTTACTATACCGTGCAAGTTAGCAAAATAAACTTATTTAAGAACCGCCATCGCTAGTAGATCACTTACGCCAGTCACCCGGTTATGTCGCCGGCCTTCAGCTAAGTCACCTTGCCCCTAAGCGTGATTATGTTGCTACATGTTATCTCGATTAAAGTTTTTGATTATTCGTCAGAATGCAACTAAAACTGCAACAGTTGCATATTCACAGACAAATTACATGTTAAAGCTATTGCCTATTTCAGATTTGGTGGCATATCTCAAAAAAAGAAATCACATATAGAAGGGCAACAGAGCCTCGCTCTTAATGCTGAGCAGAACACGATTGTCTCAAGATCACACCTCGCTGTTCTTGCACTCTCTCCGTTTATTTTGTTCGTTAGCCTTGGTCCAAGCAGGTTGTTGTTTTTTTCCTTTCATCAACTGAACGCCCTGAGAATTTTCAAGTTTTCAAGTTTGTCAATACATGTGCGTAACTCGCGTAATATGATTGTCTTATCAAATACAGTCCATCTAACTTGGGCGACGCAACATTTCTTGGGGGTATTTGAATTCACTTAAGATCAAGGTTACTTGTAAACGTTTAGAAAAAAGTGCCTAAACACGATTATGACGTTTTATATTCGCGCCTAAATTTTTTTACATAAGAGGCCATAAACCTTCACCTCCTCTTATTTAGCTTTGTATGTTTGTAAACACCTAAAAAGTCCTCTGGTTCTCGACTTTCCGTTATCATTTGTCTTTAAGTGACTCCATGCGCTCACTAATTTTGTATAATTTACTGTCATGACGGTAATTCATGTAGATGAAAGATGTGACAGGAGAGGACTGCTGCAAAATCATTCAAACCTACGAACCTGTGCTGGAAAACAGAAGTGTAGGCATTCTTGGAATTGATGGTATTTTACATTATTGTAATAATAATAATACTACCATTATTAATTTTACCATTTCATATCGCGTCGTCGACTTGACCGTAAATTCCCGCCGCGAGTGTTGGGTATAGCTGTAACAATTTTTCCCTGTTAAGTCTCCTCGAAGACTTTTAATAACCATCGAATGAAAGTGTTAATCTAAATCAGATTAAGTCAGGATTCCCCATAGCCGTTTCTTCTTATTTATCTTTCTGTTTTCGAAATTTTCACTTTTTTCTTTTCTCGTTTGGTATCACATCACAGGTTTCACAAGCTATCTTTTAGGTCCAGAAGGTGATATATTTAATCCAGAACACTCCAGAGTCAACCAAGATATGACCAGACCTCTGTCTCATTACTTCATTGCTTCTTCACACAACACGTATGTTGACCTGTTTGTTTGTTTGTTTGTTTGTTTGTTTGGTATTCAGTAGTATTCATTCCAAACGAACTGACACGACCTTTTAAATCAGAGAAGATTTCCGAAAAGGAATGTACACATTTGAAAACTCATGTTTGGAAGCCTTCTAACGGTTAAGAGTTACTGGCTTTTTAAGAGTTACTGGCCTCTTATTTCTCTCTACAGTATCATTCTTGAATCAAATGTAAATTTCACCAGAATAAAGGAAATGAGAATCAGTGTAGAAAGCTCTTGATTGTCAAACAAATTCTTCTTGGCAGTATCATAGGAAATACGAACGGAATAGTTATGGGAATATGGGTAATCATTTAACGGTTAATCGTTGACACAGTCATACCAGAAAAAAAAAGATGCGAAAAATTCAGTGTGCTCTTTGTAGGAATCATCCTCTGGAAACTCCAATCACAATGGTTCGGTGAATCAACAGTGACAAGTCAGTCTTCCTTTAAAATCTACCTCAGCAGCCGAATAATCGAGTGTTGTTTACCTCAGATCATAAAACCTTCAAGAGGTGATGATGGCGGGGGGTTTTTTAAGCCTGATAAAAATGTCCCTTGGCCAGAAGCCGAATGAAAACGTTTAAAACACTAACTAGATAATACAACGTTGACAGGATCAGCTTTCATTTTGTTAAGACTTTGCCCGAAAAAGGGTTGTTTGGGCAATCGACTGAATCGATGCTCATGCCCAGTCCCTCTAACTTTGTCTTTGTAGCTACCTCCTCGGAGATCAGCTGACATCTAATTCAAGTATGGATATATACGTAAAGGTCCTGCAGTCGGGTTGTCGGTGTATCGAAAGTAAGGATTTGTATTTTTGTGCCTTTTGATAGGCTTTGATGGCCTTCAAATGGTAATTTTAAGTTTATTCGTTTTATCGTCCGGTCGTTTGTTTTTGTTTATTTCCGAGTGAAGATCCTTAGTACGCGATAATGCTTCTTCTTGGTTATTAAGCTTTATTATTATTAATTCTCTTTATATGTACGGAAAGCGCTTTTCAATAAGTGTCAAAAGTAACCCGGGATTACTTTAGTTCGTTTCACTGCTCAATGTGATTGGTGTAGAAAACGCGCGCCAGACTCTCATCCAAGCAGTCTCAAAATGTAAACCAGTTGCAGCTTGTTACTTGCGTTTCCCGCCTTTCAAGCAGCTTGCTTTCATTTACCTTAGTTCTCATAGGCTCCTTTGTGATAATTCGTTTCATTCTGATTGGCCGTCGTAATTACTTTGGTTTTGGTCTTACGACACTCTTTCGACCGCTTTCGACTCTAAACCTTGCACAATATACTTCACTCTTGGCTAGAATTAATCAATTAAAACTTTGGATGCGTAGTTGGACGCGAAATTAACCACTTTCAGTTGAAGTGCACATTGATATCCTGAAATGTTGGTGGTGGGAGAAAGATGTCTATGAAGACAAATGATTAAAAGGACATGTCGTGTGGGGTTTCCAATGCTGTTTTCCAAGTAACTGTTCAGCGCGTTTATTTGTCGAGGAGTTATTTCTGTACCGCATAAATCTGTTCCCCAATATAACAAAATTAAAAAACCATAACAACTGTCCCTACCTTTCCTCACTTTAGCACTGGATGACAAAGAATAAGATTTGAAGATGTTAGAATATTTCAAATAAGGTCATCTAACATTCTGTATGGCTCTTCTTTATTTAATTGTTCCTTTGTGTTTCCAACTGTGCAGTTGACTGCTGGGATGGAAAGGATGGTGAACCTGTGGTATATCATGGTTACACGATGACGTCCAAAGTGAAATTTCGTTACATCATACTTAATATCAACGACTTTGCCTTTCTTAATAACAAGTAAGAAAGCACTGCACTGAAAACCAAACGGCCTTACTAAGTATTACGGGAAGATTTTAATTTTCTTTTTTTGGTGAAGCAAGTAGTAAATATTACGATAAACATAGCAAATGTAAAGTCAGAAATATTTGAGAGTGTTTGTTTTTTCTAATGATTCAATTATTCTACCAGCATTAAATGTTAATTATAATTGTGTGCCTTCACATAATTATAGCACTCATCTTGATGTCTTAAAAGTGTTATTAAGGGTAGACCACATCAAAATTCACAATTTTGAGCGCAAATGCAGTTTAATCATTTTCTTTTTTCTAGATATCCAGTTATTCTTTCGTTGGAGAATCACTGCAGTGTTAGCCAACAAAAAGTTATGGCGAGTCTTATGCGAGACATTTTTAAAGATATCCTTTATAAAGGATCTACTTTACCATCTACTATCCTCTGCTAGTAGACTGCCTCTGCCTAACGTCTGTTACAGGAACTTGTACCTTGATTTGCCTTAACATTTCCTAGATAAGCTGGTCTACGAGACAAGTTTGGATAGAAAAGATCTACCCTCGCCGCAGAGCTTAATGGGTAAAATTCTTATCAAGGTATATACCAATAAGGAATATGTTATATACTGTAGTTATTGCACGTCCCTTTCTAGTTTTTTAGATTTCTCCCCTTGCCTCCTTGTTTACCTATAAAATTCGAGGTAATTTAAGTTGTTTTGCAACTTAAGTCACGCCTCAAAGATTTATGCTTGACAAATAATTTAATTTATGGAAGAAAAAGGTGATAATTGATCTTCAACTTAAAAAAAAAGACAACTGATAGTGAGACGCTCTTTTACCTATGCTATTATTATTGCTCTTACCTTAAAATTGTTCAATTGGGCAAACCCTTTAATAAAAAGCTGGTGGTCCTTGAATAGTTCCCCAATGTAGAGCCTTTGGTACTACCCCTTCTCCCTACACCCCAAAAAAACAAAAAGTATAAAACTGTACGTTTTTGAACCAAAAAAACTCCACATCGTACGTGGGGATAGTCGATGGCTCGCATTTTGGCTGCTTTTAATCAGCTCCTCGTTTAGAATCCCTGGGGACTTAAAACAACCAGTGGGGCAGGGGGAGACGGTTTAGCAAAGCGCATAATCGCATATGACAAAAGTTTCTTTTTTTGAAGGCCAAAAAACTGCCAGCCACTTTTGACCAAGATTTAGATGAAGGTGACGTAACAGAAGAAGATTCTGCTGATGAAATGGAGGAGGCTTTTAAGTTCAAAGATAATGAGGTGAGAACTCCACTACAACACCCAGCTACTTGTACTTTGTAGACGCTTTGAATAAAACGCATTTAATGATTAACCAAAAATTGAGAGAGTTCTTTTACTTTGTAAATCTTTACTGAAAACTTCAGTATCTATTGCTACCCTTGCATCAGAATCAACAAACACTTATTATTATTTTTTAATTATTTATACGTCATTTTTCGGCACCATACGTAAAACAAAAGCATATCTCCACACTTCTATATTTAACAGGCAAACAACCCACTTCCCAGTACTTTTCAAAAGTTCGCTATGAAGTATACAATATCTACTTTTATCGCCTCCACTTGACTATCAGCTCAGTGTTTCAACCACCCACCGACCCAGCGCAAAAGTTTCTTTAGAAGCTATACACCTGAATTAATTGTGAGCTTATCTCCTTCCCTATATTTCATTTGTTGTTTTTATCCTTATTTCAGAATGTATTAGAGCAGAAAGCAAAGGAGCGCAAATGGCGACGCACGCTGGCGTCCTTACAGCGTCTCCGTTCGAACAAAGACGACGAAGAAAATGACGCTCGTGGGGATCTTAGCTCAGCAATTGTGACGTCCGTGGCTTTGGAAGAACCCACTTCAGTAGGAGCATCAAAAAGCGTACCAAGGGTGTGTAGTCAGTTCCTTGCATCAATTGTGTTAGGTCTTGTTTGTAATAATAATGATCGAAACAGAGATAGATGCCTTGGCGTTTTGTCAGGAATAAGAGAACACTTTACAACATAATGTTGATTACTGATGTTGGAGAGCACGATTTTTTAACATATTTTAGTCATATATTGCAATCATACGCTTTTTTCGTAGCGTTTTATTGTACCAGACGGGCGGAGTTTGAAATTTAGTCTTTAACCCTTGACCCTCGAGTAACTAGCATCTAATTTCTCCTTATTATATTAGCCCTGAATCAAACATTAAGGTCATGAGAATAAATAAATGATCACTAACAAACGGAGCTCTTGATTTTTTTGACAAATTCTTCTTGTCGGCACCTTAGTTAAAAAGCGAATGCGGCCTTTAAACAAGACATGTACGTGAATTGTAATATATTTTTTTTTCTAATCTTACTCAAAATGTTTTGTTATACGAAGAATGGAGTGAGCTCATAGAAAAAAAATCGCTCTTTAAAGCTCTCCTATTTTCTCTCAGCTTGGAAGATCGCTGTCTGCAAAATATGTCTTTGATCAGGGTCCTCGCAATCAGCCTGCTGAAATAAGAAAAACACAAAGCTTTAGTGAGAAAGATAAGGTATAGTAGTATTTTAAGGTATAGTAATATTTTATACATATATCAAAATAGGAACAACGTACGTAAAATGTATTTCTTCATCAAGTTCTTAGAAGTTAAGATATAGCTTTCTGTGACTCTTCCCCAGTCATTTGTTAATACGCGGCCGCAAGGTTGCGAGAAACTTCCACCACTGCGATAAACTGGACATAATTTCCCATTTGCCCCGCGTTTATCTTTTGCGCTTCCCTCGTTAATCTTTTAAAGTAGAGAGACGACTGGGGAAGAGTTAGAAATTTCCTTTTTGTTCTCAAAGATTGAGATTTAATGGAAATCTGTAGCGTGGTACATCCTCTAATTCTGGATGTTTTTTTATCCCGTGATCTTCTGCTTCGTTGAATGTTTGTTATTGAAATGATCTTCGAATCTTTTGGGTCCTTTCCGCTGCTTTTAAGAGCAATTCATGGAGGAGTTTTCGTCAGACTTCCGAGGTACGGTAAATGGAAACTTTTAGACTGTGATCAATCTAAATTTCTAGAGGAGAATATAGATATGCATCCCGATGTATTTATTTCTCAATCAGTACATTTCTGCGGATTTGAATCGAGCTTTGCGTGAAAGAAATTCGAAATCGATATCAGGTGAGGTAACTCTCTTTTGATAACGTTGGTTTAGTTTGGTAGTATGATTTATCTTTATTTCTCAGAAAACGAGAAGGCGATCCAAAAAAAGGCTTATCTCTACCGACGAGGTGGGTATTTTACAAACTATTATTACTCACTATTTTTTTATTTTCATTTTTTTTGCCGTGATTTATTTGTTAGTGTGTTTTTTAAACCTTCAGTTGTCTACATTTTGCGATTTTTAGATTTCCTTTTAAAAAGTTTCGAATGCTGAAAATACTGTGGTCGATTAAATCTTTGCGTTGTGTTTATTTATCGTTCCTGACCATTGTTTTTCTCTTGTTCATGTCAACAGGATTCTATAAGAAAAATTAAGTTGAGCAAGCATCTTTCTGATCTTGTTGCTTACACTAAGTCATCAGCATTCAAAGGACTGGATCTTGATGAGAATGGTACGTAAAGGTATGATGTACAGATATCATGTGTCACGAGCTTAGGAGAAAGAAAGAATGTAAGTCTTCCACATGGTCTCTGCCCATAAGCCTTCCAATCTTGCATCTTTATCCTGAAAGGGGGGGGGGGGGGGTCAGAGCACTTTGGATCACTTGGTTTTCAGGGGGAACGGAGGGGAGGATCAGTCGTCCCTTACAGAGTTACAGAGTGTAAGAGGAGGACTATAGTAAATTAACTGCCAATGAGGGGTATCATTTGAATACAACCGTGCCTTATATGGGGAATCGGGTAAATTTTATTGTGACAAAAACCAAAATCCTTTGAACCTCCCCCTTCCCCCTCCAGGGGATAAATTATTACTGTTCCAGTTTGGTTCTTCAACGATGACCAAGACAAGTCTCATTGAAAGCTGAATTTTTTTTCTCACAGATACCCACTGTGAAGTATGTTCAGTACCTGAGTCGAAAGCTTACAGATATGTTGACACAAAAGGCGAACAATTTGTGCGTTACACAAGATATAAACTTTGCCGAGTTTACCCGGCAGGTTACAGAATCGACTCTAGCAACCCAAATCCACAAGCCTTCTGGAACTGTGGCTGCCAACTAGGTAAAAGATAATATTTCCCAGTTGCACCTACCTCCCACAGCGAGGCAGATGCCATAGTTAAAGTGTGCAACTCTTTCTCACAGATTCAGCAAATTCAGCTTTGATAAATGCCATTTGGAAGATATGACGAGTCACCAAAACCAATCACATACCTTAGTGTTAAAGCCCGGTGTCGTGGCAGAACAGTCCTCATTTTTCGTATTTTGTGGTGTTGATGACGTGAGGAATCTGACGAATTGCATGAAGTAAAACTTTATGAGTTGTTCATTGTATTATAGTGGTAAAGAAAATGGAATATTGCAAAAATGACGTGGTAAATACCTTTTGAACATCCTCACAAAAATTATAACAGGAGCTACACTCCGTTACACATTTATTTGGGACACTTACTACCTTCCATGCCTCAGTATTTGTCTCCGAAATACCGTAAACAAATTAGCCTTTGACAACGTCTGAAGAGGAGAACAGTGCAAGTTGTGGTAAGGTTTCCCAACTATGTGGATAAGAAATTGTAGCATGTGCGGTTTTTTTTTTTCCTTTTTTCTGATTTGATTTCAAGTTTCTTTAATTTCTATCATTCACAATTCATTCAGTGGTTAAAGTAGGATAGTGACATTGGCACATTTTCTTCCTCAGTGGCTCTAAACTATCAAACAGAAGGACGAATGATGCAGATATACAAAGGAAAATTCAAGTCAAATGGAAACTGTGGATATGTCCTTAAGCCTGATATTATGTGTGAAGGTTTGTTAGTATACTTTGAATTTCAGTCTTCCCAATTGGTGACAACCATCATCGTCATCCTCTTAAAATGTAAATCCCTTCGTAGGATTTCTTGCTACGTTTCGAACGAAATTCCAGTTAAAAAAAAAACCACCAGAATTTAAAAAAAGTGGTTTTTTTTTATTCTTTCTACAGCTGAACCTAAGTTTGATCCCATGACAAGGACGGATATTAAAGGAGTCAGGAGAAAGATTTGTAAAATAAAGGTGAAAAGACTTTACCACATATGTGAGGTGTACTATATGTGCTTTTGAAGAATGTGACTGAATGTTTGTCGACATTCACGTAAAACGTTGAGCTCTCCCAGGGAAAAAGATAAATGAAGCAACTATAACCTGTGTGTACGAGATTACACTTTCATGGAAGTTGACACTTTAAAATCGTTCGATAATTAAGCTATAGATTTTAGAACAATTCTAAAAATGAATATTTTCGTTTATCAGTCTGCTCTATTTCTTGCATTTTGAATAGTTCCACTAGTCCTTCCTTGTCTTTACGTGTTTGAGTGTTTGTTTTCCTTGTTGTTGAGGTTTTTTATTTTCTTTTCTTTTCATTCATTTTTTTTAAATTTCTCAAAGTATCGCTTATATTTCGATAGGTGATAAGTGGCCAACAACTGCCAAAGCCAAAAGACAGCATCTTAGGAGACCGTGGAGAGGTATGCAGAAAATTCTACATGCAGTTTGTTTCTTCGTATTCAATTTGTTTTCAGGAAGGAATGAAGCGGGAAGTTAAGGAGGGTAAATCTCCTGTTGGGCTCAGCGGTTTACACCATGTCGATGACATGGTTTAACTCCTATTCCCACAACTAACTTTCCTACCGCAAATTCCGATTGCGTGTCTGATTTGCAGCCTGCAACTTGCATCTTGCCCCCAAACAGCATTAACTCTGTCTTGAAAATATTTAGTATTTCCCTATCTATTCTGAACACTTGCTTCCCTAATTTAGTTAGAAGGATTATTCATTGTTAGTTATAACTATCAAACCAATCTGGCTCACTGAAGCCATTTTCGGAAAATATTTTTTCTTCGTGTGGTAGATCGTGATTTCTCTCGAAGGGGTAAAATTGCAAAGTCTATCAAGTGAATGAATAAATCAGTGAATCCTTTTGTTTTCCTTTAGTATCAATTTTTTCCTCTAAACTTGAGCTCTATTCAATTATTTTTGATACAGATCATTGACCCTTACGTAGAGATTGAGGTGATAGGTATCCCAGCTGACAACTGCAAGCGGCGCACAAAAACGGTCATCGATAATGGTGAGGAAAACTATTGAGAGAGGTGTTGAAGTCCGTGACGCAGATATGTTCGGAAAGAAAAGTTCTAAATGCTGCTCGTGTCCTTCCGAATACTCGTTTAGATCCTCTAACGAGCTCGACAGGACTCGTACAGTAGTAAACAGAATCGTGGTGTTATAGGCTTGTGTGGCCAATATCTTGAACACTGCCAGGAACTGAATGTTTATGTGATACTCTTGAGCATTTACGTAGACGAAGGTGGTTTGTTAACATGCACAATGCGGATCGTTAGAAGAAAAATGAAACAGCTCACGAACCCTTCTTCAATTGTGATTTTTTGTTAAGACTTTGAGGAAAGCTTTTCGATTGTGATTATGAGAAGGAAAAAAAACAAAACAAAATGTAAACGAAAAGAAAAGCAGACCAGGCAGCTAAAGAGAAAATTGTTTGCTTATTTAATAATTCCTTGTTTGTAAAAGTCAGCTTGACACGTGACGTGGCATAACGTCGCGTGAGTTGACGAGACATTACATGGCATGCTTTGACACGAAAAAACGTGATTTAAACTTTATATTTTAGTTAAATTGAACTAAAATTAAACTAAAATTTAGTAAGCACCTGTCATGCAGAAGTTGTTATTGACATGAAATACACGTTGTGTCTTACACCCTTTCTTTCATAGGGTTCAATCCAGTTTGGGAGGAGACCATTACCTTTGTTCTCACCTTTCCGGAACTGTCCAATTTCCGTTTTGTCGTTTGGGACGAGGATCCAATTGGTAGAGATTTCATTGGTCAAGTTAGTTATCCATTTTCGAGCCTGATGCCAGGTAACTAGATAAGCTTACATTTCTCAGTAAATGTTGGTTAACCAATACATTTCTATACATCCATTTTTTTCGAATAAAACATGATATGTCCAATTGTGCTGTCGTGTATTTTGACAGGGGTAGCTTACAACTTTTTTACTTCTGTGTATTTATGAACCATTGAGTTTTTCAATGTTTGCGGTGAAGTTGACCGAGCGAAAGTCAACAAGTTAAGAACTCCACAGTCGGCCGCAGGCGAGAGCTGCCTTTTTTACAAGAGATAATCCTTAAATATCTTACTGGTATCATCTCTCTCCACCTCACCCATCGATAGTCGATATTGATATGTATGGTAGGCTAGGTAGCCTCGGTACCAGGGTGCACTGCTAGCCTCGTTATGGTGTTTATGTTAGGAAGAATGACTTTCAGAATAAACGGTTATTTTGCTCTTGTGGTACGTTGCTGTCAACTTGTTGAAACAGATAATCACTTAGATGTAAATTTATTTAACTGCCTACTTAGGCTACAGACATGTGCATCTTGAAGGAAATCAGCAAGCCTCCATATTTGTTCACGTTACAATTGCTGATTACAACGGAGAAAAGGTGAAATATTTATTGCTCTATTCATGAATCTTTCCTAAAGACTTAATTATGATATTGTCTGAATAGACAGAGAACGCGAAGATTGCTCTTGGTTGAAAGATCGGTGGTTAGATCCAATGATCTCGAGCCGCGAACAGTTAAAAAATTTAGTACTCTGAAAGGTCATCATGCGAAGAAATTGTTCTTTCTAGTAGAAGTAACTGTTAACTCCGTCTTCAACGTTTACAATTTCATTTCATTCCCTCCGGGTTAACCCTTTCTCTCCCAGTTTCTAAACTTAAATTCTCCACACTGTCCATTTTAATTTCTCACAATTGTAGCTTCTGCGTATTAAAACCGTGTGGAGAAACTCGGTTTTGGTCACTTCTGGTGGTGCAAATCTTAAGAACAGTGCTTTCTTGCAGATTATAGATGGCTTGGATATATTCAATCCAGAGAGAAGATATTCAGGTGGAGTGAAGTTTAAAAGGAGACAGCGAAGAGAATCAACTTTGTTTTAGAAACAAAAACAGAACAAACAATTACACTAAAGGGGTACTGGCAACCAGTTCGGTATGGTTCCGATCGCTGGATGCCCACCTGGGCGGAGATTTGTGAACTGAATGTTGAAGATAACTTTAAATGCTTGTAACCCAATTTATTTACGGGCTATGAATCACAAGGAACTATCAATATCCAAGATTTTGATATGTGCAACTCTGAGTTTGTATCTTCTAAGACTAATGCCTGTGTTGTGAACAAGAATAGGGTTGGGATATGGACTGTGAAAAGTCGGGGAAGTCAGAGTTCCCTTTTGCCGTTTGCAGTTGCTGTATGTGTCGCACTGAAGATCTGATGATGTCATCCCTGACTCACTCTCTGGGAGAGGGTACATGTTTAATGCAACAAACCAGCACTAGTTCCAACACTGGTGATCTGTCAAAGCATTTGCATTTATGATCTGACCCGAATTTAGATATAAGTTTCGTTCGTTGTTGTTGTTAGCTGCATCAGCGGCCTCTTGTTTCTAAAACAATGGGTTTTGGACGGATCTGGACGAAGAAAAAGCATAGGTGATCTATCATTAATATATGCTTCCAGGCGCTATGAAGTTACTCAGTAATGCCTGTTTTAGCATGTTTTTCTCAGGTACAAAATTCGCATAATAGAGCAAATGTGGACCTGAACTTGTGACCCGAGACAATTTAATTAATAAACCAATTCTTTTATCTCATACCTCAATTCCATGCTAAGTTTATCGGTTCTTTTGCCGCAGTGCGGAAAGCGAGGGGCTTCCATCCGCTTTAGTGTTTAATTCGCAACTTCTACCGCCGTCTTCATGAGGACCTACATTGATGGACGTACAATTTGGCTCCAGATAGCAGAAGACGCGGCAGCTTCCTTCGTCGGCCACTTTTTCTGCTCTTATCAAGTGCCCGTTAAGCGCTTTGCTTGGTACTGGTTCCTTGAACACTATAATCCGACTATATTCTTTAGAAAGCACTGTAAGGTGAAAAGGATCTGATGATGTCATCCCTGAAGCACTCTCTGAGAGAGGGTACATGTTTATTTCAACAAACCAGCACTAATTCCAATACAGGTGGTCTGTCAAAGCATTTGTATTTATGATCTGACCCGAATTTAGACTTTGGTTTCGTTCGTTGTTGTTGTTAGCTGCTTACATCAGCGGCCTCTTGTTTCAAAAACAATGGGGTTCTGGACGGATCTGGACGGAGAAAAAGCGTAGGTGATCGATAATACATGGTAACTATTTTGTTTCTCTTTAAAATTAGCCCAATTTTGCAATTATTTCATCTTTCTGTTGAGCTGATTGGATCATCAAAGATCATTATCTCAATATACGTTGTCTCGGTCATTTTTTCAGGACAGCCTTTCATATTTTGTAATGCCGGGCTGTCATTTGTCTCGTAGAGCCTAAGGGCTTTCTCTAAAGTAAACAATTCAACGTTCAAAGTCTTGAATGTTTAAACGACAGGTTTCTCAAACAATGCAATGGTTTGCAATGAGGGATTAATACGTCTATGCGAACGCTGTTGACTGCAATGATTAATTTTCTCTGTTTGAGTTATTCAGCAGTTTGGACTTGGATATATTTTCCCTTTTCAGAAAAAGGAATTTAAAAATGGAAAGTGTTAGCAATCAGTCGAACCAGCATTGAACTTGTCTCAGATTGAAATTCAGTTCTTGCCTCCCTGTTAACTGGCGTCAATTCGAGATTTTCGAGCGGCAGGCACGACAGATGGAACCAACGAACTTTTGGTTTCAAAAAAACTGATGGAATTACATTCTCGCGAATTTCACTAATGGCTGAATGTGTTCATGGTTTCTAAGTTATTTAGGTTATTTGATATCATATGCATCAGTTACCTTATTTGTTTCATACTTAATAATCACGTGACAAAGTTTCTGAGTCACAAGAAAACAGAACAGAACCTTTATTTATGCACGATAATAATTAAAGCTAAAAGTGATATTGTTAAACCGGCGGTACTACTCTTCCAATGTTCAATGTTAGGCCAGTGATTGGTGTACTGAGGACTATGGGTTATGTCTCGAGCTGCATCCCACACTGTACTTTAAGCATATCCATACAAATACAGAAAACACTGTAGTTCCCGTGGTTGTAATCATTTCTCACAAATGAAGTTGTATTTATCTGAGCAACTTCTGTCGCGCCACTTTCCATCAAACAACACAGCGCAAGCTATGGACCCTATGTTTGGCTCTCCTGTATTCCAGTCGATAAACTCATCTAGCTCACTTCCGTCAGACCATTTCCACTCATCATTGGACTCTTTTTCATGAAGGCCAATCCAATAGGCTGTATTTTGAGAGTTGACACCAAGATCCTCACGAATAAAAGCAGCCTCATCCTTAGAGGTTATCTTCACCAGCCGTGCATTCATTGAATTACAGTGGTCTTCTCCGTCTTTCCAAGAAAGTTCAGTGGTGAATACAGCATAACAAGAGGTTCCATACGGTTTCCAATCGGTAGGACAGTCTAATAAAATCAATGCAAAATAGTTAGCAAACCTGCGTTATCTTTCATATTGGATTCATGTTTGCACATGTCCACAGAAAAATATCAAGATAAAGTAGCATTATAGTTCATGCATCACCCTTTCTTTTACTGTGTTGTTGAGTGTGAAAGGTAAATTTGATTATAGAAACCTCGGTATGACAGACGGAAGGCTTGCAGCTTGCTGATCGTTACACGTTGTGTACAGATGACATGGAAGAGTAGAAAAAAAAGTAGAAATCGAGATGGCAAGAAATGAACGGGTAAAATTGGATATTTTATCGAGAGCTACACGCTTTTTTTACACTGCAATGGTATACTTTTGAAGACGATAAGAGTCCATTTTTTATGGATTATCTCTTTGCACCCCAACCAGAATAAACATTCTCCATCTGTTCTCTATACAATTTCTTACATGGGGAAAAGGGGAATTTGTTTAACAATCAAGAGCTCCTATAGTTGGTGATCATTTCCTTTATTCCTGTGTCCTTAACGTGCGATTTAGGGGTGAGATTTTAGGATGATAAGAGATGTAGGTCCCTCTTGATCAAGAGTGAGTTGATTTTCATTGCATTGGTGATATAAGAACCTTTGCAGTGTCCCTCTTCGCTCATTTCGCGGCAAACACATCGGAAGCCTTTCTCAGTGAATCCCGCTTGACACAATTTTCCCTCTCTGGCACAAGGGTTGCTGCGGCAAGGATTCTGTGTCAGAAAATAATTTCAATCTTAATCTGTCAACTGTGGATTTATGATAACAGTGTCATATACTGCAGATAAAAAAATCAACAGGGCTGGTCATCCATTTGAAATAATTCGGGAGATCATTTTGTCGTTTTGTACATGAACTTATCCTGCAAAAAAGAAATCGAAACTTTTTGTTCTCTTCATAGGAGATGCCTAGCCAATATCAGTGTCCTGTTGGTACTTCTCATAAATATATTCAATCTTTATCATACTACATTAATAATCTGCTAACTTTTCATCAACAAACTTCCAGGCGCTATGAAGTTACTCGGTAACGACTGTTTTAGCATGTTTTTCTCCGGTACAAAATTCACATAATAGAGCAAATGTGGAACTGAACTTGTGACTCGGGGCAATTAAATTAATAAACCAATTCTTTTATCTCATACCTCAATTCCATAGTAAGTGTATTGGTTCTTTTGCCGCAGTGCGGAAAGTGAGGAGCTTCCATCCGTTTTACTGTTTAATTCGCAAATTCTACCGCCATCTTCTTGCGGACCTACATTGATGGACACACAATTTGGCTCCAAATAGCAGAAGACGCGGCAGCTTCCTTCGTCGGCCACTTTTTCTGCTCTTATCAAGTGCCCGTTAAGCGCTTTGTTTGGTACTGGTTCCTTGAACTCTAAAATCCGACTATATTCTTTGGAAAGCACTGTAAGGTGAAAAGGAAGTAAGGCTGATAACGCAGCGAAGCTGTATATGCTTACTGAAAACGACATTTGTGAGTCCTCTCAAGCGAGCAACCACTTCAATATATCTAAGTGGTGGATACGGTAGTGTAGGGATCTCCTTATTCATACATAAAAACTGATCACAGTTTCCGTTTTGTCATCATGCTTAATTGCAAAAATATTGGTCCTGTGGTTTCTCTACAATTTTCATGTGGCAACCTTATTAGGCGTTCAGTCTACAATTTACAAAAACTTTTGTAAAAACTCTATCTTATCTATCGATGAGGCCAATGGTCTGATCCACGCCACTAACAAGGTAAATTTTTGAAAAAGTGAGGCGTTCTTAAAACTAACATAGATAGAAAAGATAACTACAGAAAAAAAGTATGGACATAACGATTGCTAAGTACTCGACGTTTTTTAGGTGAAGGTCAAAGGGATGAACAAATCGGTTCCAGGGAAAGCTAACTGACCTCGCTGAAAATGAGAGGAGAAAACTAAAGCATCGTTTATAGCGTTCCACTTCTTAATTACGAGCACTCAAGACACACTTAATGCCCATTAAGAGTCACGCAGGCTTTGTGGTTGATGTGACGTCAAATCCACCAGTAATTAATAACATCACTTACTCTGAGTTTTAACATTTGAAGTCTACGCGACTCATTCAAACTGGTGAATGATATTCGATTATCAGGCTGAACGCCCTCATTACCCCAGCATGACTTAACATACATTTTAAGCTGTTTATATCAAGACTTTTATGGCGATGAATTCTTTAAAAGCCTCTTGATGTTGTTATGTTAAGTAGTACCTCTGGTTGACGAGGCTTTTCCCTTTCAGTTTTTTTTTTGTTATGACCTCATTTTTACTCTTTTCATCTTCAGCGAAAAAGAAAAACATCAGCTGATAAATCAAATGGATATGTGTAGGGATGTGTAGGGATCTCCTTATTCATACATCAAAACTGATCACAGTTTCTGTTTTGTCATCACGCTTAATTGCAAAAATATTGGTCCTGTGGTTTCTCTACAATTTTCAGGTGGCAGCCTTATTAGGCGTGCAGTCTGTATGGACATAACGATTGCTAAGTATTCGGCATTTTGTAGGTGAAGGTCAAAGGGATGAACAAATCGGTTCCAGGGAAAGCTAACTGACCTCGCTGAAAATGAGAGGAGAAAACTAAAGCATTGTTTACAGCGTTCCACTCCTTAATTACGAGCACTCAAGACACACTTAATGCCCATTAAGAGTCACGCGGGCTTTGTGGTTGATGTGATGTCAAATCCAGCAATAATTAATAACATCACTTACCCTGAGTTTTAACATTTGAAGTCTACGCGATTCATTCAAACTGGTGAATGATATTCGATTATCAGGCTGAACGCCCTCATTACCCCAGCATGACTTAACATACATTTTACGCTGTTTATATCAAGACTTTTATGGCGATGAATTCTTTAAAAGCCTCTTGATGTTGTTATGTTAAGCAGTACCTCTGGGTGACAAGGCTTTTCCCTTTCATTTTTTTTTTTTGTTATGACCTCATTTTTACTCTTTTCATCTTCAGCGAAAAAGAAAACCATCATCTGATAAATCACTTAAGGGTTATTCCCCTTTGCTTTTGAGAGAAGTTACTGTTTTACATGTCCTTTTTTGCTACTAGTTAATGACGATTAATGCATGCTTTACTTATTATAGCTGTTGTGCCTTCCCTCAGGCTATTTTTTGAATGGAATGAATACTTAGCAACAATGTCTTAATCAGTTTCATAGGATAGTCATCAGTGGTGGTGATTTAAATTAGAAATACAACTCGCTATATCACGCATAAACTCGGTTAACTAGAGCTTAACTAAATCGACTAAAACTAAAACTTCATTCATGTCCTACGGAGCAAGAAAAAAGGCATTAGGATTTTTGGTTTAGGGGTTTTGGCTATTTTTTAATTCGGTTTTTCGGTTCGTTTTTGCTGTTGTGGTGTTCATTGCGATTTGCGGATCTACCGTTTTTTAGCATTTGGTTTTCGGTTTTCGTCAAAAATACTCATGGGTTTTCGGATTTGGTATCTGATGTGGTTTTCGGTTTTTCCTATTTGGATTCCGGTTCCTACTCGATTTAAGCGGCAATTTTTCGCCTCCACGGGTCTCTCATAGCCGCGAAACCCATTTTGCTTCACTTGTCACCTCTGTATCGGATCGATAAGGGTTTGACAACTGGAATGTGAAAATTTATCGGTTTTGCATGCGGTTTTCGGTGTTGATAGATTTTTTTGGTTTTTTTGTTTTGTCTTGTTTTCTTTTTCATTTTTGCTGTTTTGCGATTTCTAACAGACCCCAATGCCCCCCTCATCGAGGTAATTAGTGACGTGAATCATCATTCAGTTCCATTATCTAAATGATCTTTCTTCCTAACAACCATATTGTTGTGCTTTGTGTAAGCAAGGATACTGCATAATTATTGCATTGATGTTTAAGAAAACTTTACGGGAAAACAAACCACGCAATTTGAAAAAAGACATCAGAAATATGAATTTTTTTTTCCTCTTGTCTCCTCTTACCGATCCTGGTGGTTTTTTTGTTTTTTTTTTAAGTTACAAACCAACATTCAGTGAAAATTGTGCGGCATATATAGGCTTTAACTAGATATCCGGCGGCTTTCTTTAGAAGACAGCTCTTTAAACTGAATTATTTGCAATATTTATATACAGCAAATTGCGTTTGTGTCACATATAGTATTGAATAATCTCTCTAGATGCTCTTTCAGTCTCTTCCCTCTCTTTCTCTTCTCTTTCTCTCTCTACTCTCTCTAGATGCTCTTTCTTAAACGATCACCCTTACGCAAATAAGAAAGAAAAACGCATTGTGCTTTATGTGTTATTTCTGTCGCTCTTATAAAATATTTGGGTGAATCCTCGTTGAGTTATTAAAGAATTGGACCTTGAATGCAATTTTTTATATTTGTGCGTTAGCAGTTAAATGATACACAATGCTTATCAGATAAAATTCACAGTGTAATGTGTAACGCTAACTTCTGTTCCCTTATTGTTCCCTTATCTCTTAGAACACAACGTTAATGATTTACCAAGACGTTGATTACAAATAAACTTACCAGCACACCACATATCGATGACAAACAGAACAATTCCTATTACAAGTTTCGAAAAACCCATCCTCTAACATGGATCATCTCCACTAGTTAGGTCTTCCCGTTTCAGTAGTCTTCAATGCTGAATAGCGTGTCCATGTTAATGTTTTATTTTTGTAAAATATATTACTTTTAACAGGAGTAAATATCACTGACGTTACCTGTTAGAAACAAAGAATTAACCCACTGCCCGTTGTCCAAGAAACAGCTGGTTGCTCTGATGAAGTGCCAAAATTAATATGAATATTTGTTAAAAGAAATCGCCCCTGAAGACCTCAAATTTTTACTTTCGACTTTTGTCATTTGCTAGAGCATTTTTGTAAGACTATCACTTCAAATATGTTCACATTTACATATTCCTTCTTTCTGTCGAAGGATCATCATTCTAATAGAAATTTTTCTTACCTAGAAACCCCAGGAACAATAGGCTTTTTGTTAGGTAAATGTTTGCACATCTGCAAAAATCGTGATGTTTGCCTGAAAACTTCTTCAGCGTTTTCATTCACTTTTTTTGTCTAAAGCGACTACTTTAGTTAAAGAATTAGAGTTAAGCCCATTCCAGAGGAAAAGGGCAAAAATTGATTCATTTCATAAGTTTTTTCTGTCTACCACTCAGCTTTTTTTGAAAATATTCTCATCTTTATGGTTTCTTAATCTTTTTTCGATTAACCCTTTAACTCCCAAGATCTCATTAGTAATTCTCCTTACTGTCTGCGATTCTTATTATGTTAGTTTAGAGATTTTGGTATCGGATCAATTAGTAATCCCTTTATTGATATTTTTCTTTATTCTCATCACTCGTCTGCATGATATAGTAAGGAGAAATTCTGTGTTGGTCATTCACGGGAGTTAAAGGGTTAAGAGACTAATCATTTTTTTATCACATGGGTGGGGGGATGGAGGATTTTGTTGAGTCAAATGGTTTTCAGGGGGAACGGAAGAGGGATTCGTCTTCTCCAACAAAGTACAAAAGGGGGGAATATTGAAAGTCGACTGCCAATTAATTTCCAATAAGGTGGGGTTCATAAAAACATTACAAAGCCTCATCTTAGGACCAGATAAACTTTATCGTGAAAAAAAAAAATCTTGCCCTCCAAACAAACAGGCTCGATCAATTTCCGGATAAAAAAAACTTTGTTTCCATTTGATAAAAATTGATTCTCGTTTAAAAGAGAAAAACATAAAATAATGAATGCAATGACAGGCTTAGCCATCATTCAGGGATAAATAGCAGCGGTAATTAACTGGTGCTTTTGCTACTCATTCTCTCCAGAGTATATTTTCTTTTCGCAAATATAGCCGAGAAGAAAATCACACCTGAAGTCATTCCACTCTCCATCTTTAAAACCTCTGAAAAGAAGTGATCCCAATTTGAAATCTCCTTTCACAATCTGCCCACAATTTTGATGCCCGCCTAAGTTATTGGGGTTATTTTTTCCCCAAGGGCTGTAATCATCGGCTCCCAGTGAGCTACCGTCAGTCCAGATCCATTTTCCTTCATGCACCTGATCGCTCAGTCCAATCCAGTAAGTTCCCGATGTTCCTTTGAAAAAGGCTTGAGTTAGGAAGTCGTTCTCGAAAGCTGATTCGATCTTTACCAGCTGAGCTCCGAGGCTTATGCATTTGGCGTCAGCGTTGCTCCAAGTCTCAGGCTTGGTTATGAGCTTATAACATGAACCACTGAGAGAAGCCTCACCTTGAAGGAAGCCTGAGGGAGGAGAGCAAAATAAATGTTTTAATAACTCCATTTTATTAATGAAAATCAATTCATTCTTTAACCCTTTCACTTCCACGATCAAATTGTCATTTCGTAGCAGTGTACTCCATACATTGTTTCAAAAGATTTGGCATTAAGAATTTCGTGTTAAATCGAACAACATCCCCAAATTAAAGTTTTCCCATCGTCTCCTTATTGCTTGAAAATGTATTCAGAAAAAATTCTTTTTGGCTTCCCTTGGAAATGAAGGGTTCAGTCAGCAGGCACCAGTTCATCAGTAAGCTACTCACCTTCATTACATCTCTTAAGGAATTTGCATCTAAAGCCTTTCTCTGTGAATCCCACTTGACAAACCGAATTCTCTCCTGGGCAAGGGTCCCCAAGACAAACATTCTATATTCAAAAGAAGGAAACTAAGTTATCTATAATTACTTCTAGTATTTTCAAATAGAAACCCGGCCAGTGATTCTTTATTTCTCATTGAAGTGGTTAATTTCTTCACGCTTTAAACCCTTTACATCCTTTTATCAGTATCCATTTTCTCCATCCTTTTTTTTACATATATCCAAAGGTGCTGACAAGGAGAATTGAGTTAACAATCAAGAGCTTTTATTGGTTGGTAACCATTTTTTATTTAATCTCACGACATTAATACTTTATTAAGAGGTTGTAAGTATTGTTAGAGAAATTACTTGCTAATCACTTGCACTCTTAGAAGTCAAAGGTATGGAGATGGAAGAGGACAGCGGAGACTTATCATATAAGGTTATATCAAGTTGTGACCCTCCAAGGAAAAAGAGTACTAAGGTGAACGCACGGGAACGTGTTTCTTGACACGGCAAGCTAAGATTGTCACAAATTTGCAGATGTGCATATATTTACTAAGGAAAACAAAAGCAGGCATAGCTAATTTTTTTTGGCTTTGTTTCAAGCAGTATCCTGTATGACACGCTCAACTTGTAATACGACACGCGTACGTGCGTGCTCTAAGAGACGAGTGCAAAGAGGCTCACGTGCGATGTGGTACGCGTGCGATAAGGCACGACTCTTAGAACAGCCCCACTTGCGCCCTGGACCAAAGTTCTGAATTACGACTTGAGTTTTACCTTTATGAAAAGACGTAGTGAGAAAGCTTCGCAATCTCATAGAAAATAACGAAAATCAAGAAGGGAGAAACAAGAGCGATAACAAAAATGATGATAAAAAACTTAATAAGCCAGAGGGAAAAAAGTTTACCTCAGCACCGTTATAGGAAAAATTTGGTCTATCGACCAGACTAGTAGGTGATACGCTATCATCTGTGGCGTTGTTCAAGTTACATGTACGGGTTCCGTCATCTGAAGGTCCAACATTGAAGGACACACAGTTTGGTTCCATATAGCACATCACTCGACAGCCCCCATCGTCAGACACTTTTACTGTCCTAATGATGTGGCCCGTGAGTGCAGCATTGAAAATGGGCTCTTTGAATATCAAAATTCTGTTGTAATCCGTTGACAGCACTGCGTGAAATACAGGTATACAAGTTTATATTCTTTTGGGGTGTAGTTATACATTTAGCTGTTGCGATGCCCTTAACAATGGGCCTCAGAATAAAGTTACAGTGACAGAAAATATCGACTTTCGCCTTCTTCAGATTATTATATTAAGGAACTTGACCCACAGCCAAAATGACTGAGACGATGAATATTTAAGTCATATAAGAAAAGATTGACCTAAAAATATAGAATTATGGTAGCTTTGCATGACCCCAAACAAAGATATATATTGGGTTTTAATCCCGTTTGAACAAAAAGCCAGGATGTTTAAATGAAGCGCTCTTTCGGATGATTTCTTACTTAGACAGACAGGAATGTCATGTTGCAAAAAAGAAAAACGATGCTCCAAATGACCGCTGCCACGATAGTTCATTTTATCGTTATTTTTTCCCTTTTTTTTTTTTTTTCGAGAATTAATATTTGACAATCATACTCATAAATGTAATTGTCGATTGGCATAAGCAACTAATCGTATTGCTTAAATTACCAACATTGCCGAGTGCGCCTTCAGCAATTATGAAAGCGGTTGCGAAAAATAAGGAGAACAATTTTTTTCATGCAACATTAAAAATGAAATAATTGTTCTGTTCGTTGGATGAATATGGGCTGACTCTGAACATCGATAGGGCGTTTCATTAATTCCTCAGTAACCTCTACTTGATGATCAACAAATTGTTTTACTTGTCCGCTGAAGATGTTTTTCCCCATAGCTCGGCCTGTTTTCCAAATAATTTTTTTTTTGTCTGTTGCTCACAATTTTGGTACATAATTAATACTTTCGAGCCGGTTTAATAATTTGACTTAATTAACGACAACAGTCTGTTTCAATCCCACTTACCACAGAACACCAGCAGACTCAAACAGAAGGAACTTCTTAGGGTTGGCGTTAAAAGCTTGGAAAAGGCCATCCTGAACATAAAATCGTTTTCCATTTCTGTCAATTGGTGACTCCAAACACCCTCTCAAGAAACTTTGAATATGTTAAACAATTTAGCACGTTTGTTCTTTTTGCTAATTTACGTTTTATTGATAGGGATAGTGAAGGATGGTATTAAATTTTTAATGAGATAACCTGCATTTTGTTTGTACTTCCATTACGAAATAGAGCAATGTAGCCTCTTCTTTTTCTTCCATTTTTTTTTTTTTTTTTTTTACTGTTCTCTTTCTTCTCTTCACTTTTTTCTTCTGATTATAGTAATGATAATACAATGTAATATGAAAGACTTTCAATATCATCATCATCATTATTATTAACATTATTCATTTCAAGTCTTTCTATCCCGGCCTACTCTTAATGGGTGGCTCGAAACACGCTCTCGAGTAAGGGTAAATATGTCAAATGATTTAATTTAACAGGTAAATTCTATTTCGACTAATTTGCATTGCATAGGGGTAGCGAACGTATCATGATAAAGGACACCTTTAATTCTAAATAAATTAATCTCTGTTTTCTTCAATCTTTCATTATCACAAAGACTTCTTTTATTATTTTTTTTTTCTCTTTTACGTTTTAACGAGCGTGTAACAGTGTTGACGACTTGAGGTGAAGTTGAGCCCATAGTTTTCACTCGATATCGATCAGAAAACAGACTGCTACAATACTGATAGCACTTGTGTATGATTACGTCTTTTTCTGAGAATTAAGTTCAAGCCTCTCCACGTAAAAGTTTTGAGTTAAAAGCTTACGAACCATCACCGCTGAGAATCACATTTTTATGAATTGAGTCTTTAGACACCTGAAAATTTACCAGAAACCTATGATTGACCGTAAAAACCATAACAGCAAAAACAAACACAAAAAGGTCTAAGGCACGGAAATATCTTTCATCCCTTCGTTTACCAATCAAAATTGCTATTTCCATCGAGATTAACAAAATTCTGCTGTCCAAGAAGCTATTCAGTAGTTCCTTTGTTAAGAGCTGACAGTTTGCCTGAGTCAATGATGACAGCTGTTTCCAATGTTTTAGGACATCTGAACTCTCCACACAAAGCCAAAGTCGATTGTATAAAAAGCTTACCTTTAAATAAGGGTATCTATTCTAATTTTGTTTCGCACTAAAACCTTAAATCTTCCCAACAAGGTTATAGAAATTTCTCATGACAGCAGTTTTCTCGTTTAAACGTTTAGATTTCCATTCCTTTTGAACCAGCCTTTGTTCCCTATATCCAAGTAAAATCAATTAAATTGCCCAACAAAAGAACACTGAAAATGAAAGAATTGTGAATGGCATCCGTAACAGACATTTTTTGCCTCTATTCTAGTTTTTTTATCTTTTTATTTATTTTTTATGCAGCTGTATGCAGCAGCTGTATTTAACCACATGGGAAAAAGGCTTACTTTTGAAACTTGGGGCCGAAATACTGCCACTAAATGCTCAAAGCCATACGACAATCCAGGAACCCACTTTTTCGGCAAACCGGTAACAGTGTTATCGGCCGAAATTTCCTTTTTCTCTAGAATTTTGCGTTGATCAAGGTGATATGGAAAACTTTACTTTAAGTCTCATCATTAATGACTCCAAGGAAACCTTTGCTACGACAGACGTACCCTGCTTCACTTTTACGAACCATCTCATTTTGAAGGTGCTCATGGTCTTTGCCTACGTTCTTGTGATCGGCACTTCCATCATAGGTAATACTTTACTGGCATTTATCTACTTCAAGAGCAAAAAGATGAAGACCACAATCAACTGCTGCATCATGAACATGGTTCTCGCGGACCTTCTTGTTACCTTAGTCTACATGCCGAGGATGGTCGCTCGGATTCTCATCAGCCTTGAATGGTTGGTGGAGGGCACTCTAGGACTTTTTCTTTGTGTACTTGTGTCTTTGTCCCAAGAAATCTCAATATGCGTATCAATTCTAACAGTTGTTCTCATCGCCTTTGAGAGATTCCTAGCCGTAACGTTCCCATTACGAGTTGTCATCTCAAAGAAGCTCTCCATATGCTTGCTGTGTGGTACTTGGCTGTTGTCACTAGCTGCGCGATCCCCAATGCTCTACGGCGTCAAAACGATTCGATTTCAATCCGGTGAGTTAGGCTGCTTTTGGATCGGCTCTCTCAGCTTCCAAACGAAGCAATCAAGAAGGTCGTACCAGGAGTCTATGTTAGTTATATTCTATGGTCTGCCTCTGCTTATCATAATCACAATATACACTGTGATTGCGGTCTTCTTAAGACGTCGTCATGCCCTGATTGACAACGTCACAAGAGATTGCGTATTAGCTACGACTAGAAAGGTGAATAAAATGATCCTGGCCGTAATAACAGCTTTCCTTCTATGCTGGTTGCTGTATTTCCTCGTCATACCGTTACAGGAGTTTTGGAATGTGGTTATCCCCTGTGAGGTTCAGTTCTTGCGGTTTTACCTTGGGCACTTGAACAGTGCATGCAACCCGATCATATGTTTTGCGTTTAGTGAGAATTTTCGAAGAGCTATTCAGATAAAATGGCGAGAACTGAAAATTGAAAGGTCAAGAATTATCAGGCTTGCACATGCGCCGTCGAAAAGAGACCGTTCACGATCTAACATTGAGTTGCTCAGTGTAAGATCCTTGGGAAGTTAGGAAGGTATACCACTCCTAAAAGAAATACTTCACTCGAGTTTCATTTCCTTTAGCCATTGTTGGAGGATCAATTGCAAGCTGAAAGGATTATATGGTATTGATCTTCAGTTTTTCTTGTAATTTCTCTAATTTGTTTCCAAGTTTTTTGTTTGTTTGTTTGTTTTCTTTTGATTTTCATTAACTGCGTTTTCATGAAAACACAAACAAACACAAAAATAACGAGGCTCAAATGCGGTCATTTGAACCGACAAAGCTCAGTGATAAATGATTCCTTCCTTCCACCAAGAATTTCAACGCAGCTTTTCAAAACTGTCATGGATTTCTCATTTTATGTCTTAATAATTCTCTAAAGGTGTTTAGCGACTCCATTTCCGTGAAAACCGCCGTTCTGGAGAACATTTTTCCTTCGTAACAAAAAGAAGTTATGAAGTATGTAAATAGGCCACACCTTTCTCTTCCTTTTTTTCCCTCTCTTAACAGGATCAAAGTGTTCAAAGATCTTGATGGCCAATCTTATACAAAAAAATGGGAGAATTTAAGAAAGCGCATAACCCGTTTCACTGCGGACTCTTCTCAATTCCTTGGACTGAATGGGGATCCAACAAGCCATACGAGGCAATGTAATACCACAGGCATACCACACTATGTGTTGGTGGTTAATAATTGTTGACAAAATCTATGAGGATTATAAATAAAGTTCTGAAAATTGTATATCTAAATTACATCTCAGGATGAATCTCAATAGTCTCAATAATGTTAAATGAAATGTTAATCGACTCATTTGTGATATTTTTTCGCCCTCATGGGCTGTTTGAAGCGTCTTTTCTACGAAATTACTTTTGGCAAGAGGCCGTTGAGAGAGGGAAGCTCTCCCTTTCTTTTTCAGAGCTTTATTTATAACCCTCATAGATTTTGTTCGTCTCATATAAACAATTATTAACCATGAACGCATAGTGTGGCGTTTCAAGAAATGGCCCATTGTTCCGGGTCAACTTTTCCAAACAAAAGTCCTGAGTAATTGGTAGTCCTGAGGGACTTTGGCCGAAGGGAGGCGGAAAAGCTCGTAACTGATCGAGAAAATTATCGGAGTGGCAATTTTGCTGCACTGGGGGAGTGGGTAGTGTAAATATGAACTAGTAAAATCAATCTCCATCGGTGTACCCAGGGGTAGACTTGACCCTCGTTTAGCGCATTGAGCCAAAGGTTCGCAAATTCAGAAATAATTAAATTTATCCGTATTGCAGTGACTCATTTAAACCACCTCTCTCTATATGTAAGTCAAGTCGCCTGGTTTTTATCAGTCAGTTTTTCAACGTACAAATATATTTTTTGGTCTTACTACTGATGTTAAATACAATCGAAAGTGACGGTTTTCTGTGGAGAGCCTCGAGGCGATTGAAGACCTTGTTTCTGGCGCACAGCTGTTTTCAAACGAGGCATTCATCGTTTTTAGAACCAGCATGTTTACCTAACACGAGGATCCTTCTTTGCAAAAGCGCCGAATTCGTGTAACTATGTTGACGATACAAGATATACTGATCAAAGCAATGATTTCTAGTTTTTGCGAGAGCATGTATTTGAGTTATTTTCGTTTTCAATCAAACGCGTGGCAAGATGAGGGTGTGATATTTTTTCTCTCACAAGTCTCACAATGAAGAAGGTGCGAGTTTTTTTATTTATCATTTACAAAAAAAGCAAGTCCTGCTTAAAAGTAAGTCTCTCTCATTAAAAACTACCAGAGTTTTACAGCGGATTTTAACAATCTTTGTTAAAAGTAAGAAGCTGTCAACAGCTTCTCCAAATTTTTCGCAGAGAGCAGGCGCTGGCGCACAGCTGTTTTCTAATGAAGTGCTGACTTTCTGGAACCAACAAGTCTACCTAAGAAGAGGATTCCTTCATTTAAGTACTTTGAGACTGCTTGAAGTTGAAGTGACCGTTCTACTTTTAAAAAAGGAAAAGCAGATCTTGCTCGTACAAGAATTTTCTAAAAACTGTCAAAACTGAATTCTAGAAATGTTTTTAGAATGAAATACTGCTAAAAGCAAGTTTTTCGAGGTTTTGGCAGAGCGCGTTTGTTATCACTTTTTATTTGTTCCTTTTGTCTTTTACCTTGGGCGTGGCATCCCCATTTTTTAACATAGTAAATGTTTTGTTCAAGATGACAGACAAGACAGATACCAGAAGCTGTTTATGTCTTTCTATAAGACAACAAATGACTTCATTAATAAATTATCTCCTATATTTTTCCAGCTTGTCTAATTCTTCGGCGGAAGTTGCTCGAATTTTGAATTCAAGTTACACTTGAAATTGTTTAAGTTCTCATTAGATGTGATATGCCACTGAAAAACAGCTTAGTAAAACGTCGGAAAAATTGTGTGATTCACATTTCTAGTCATTAAGTCTCTATTGTTTACATATGCAATTGTATTAGTCTTAATGCACGGATGGTTTAATTTGAAAACTATCAAACAATCTTTAGAATTTATGCATGGACGAACTTTTTTCAACAGTCGTTACATATTTGTTTTGTATCTGAGGCGAAGAACTGAACATAAATTCAAGAAAAAGTTCCAGTAAAGAAGAGTGAAATTATTTCAAAAAAAGCTTCAAGAGATGGGGTTTTGCCTAAGTTAAAGAGGCTTGCATTTTTCAGGGAACTTATTCAGCGTCGCTCTTAAGGCCCTGTTTACCATTTGAGTTTTTATCAGATAGTTGTCTTTTAACTGTCGACTGGTCTCATTCGCGTTTTCAACGACGTAGAGAGTACTTTATTTAGGCAGGCGATAAATTAAATCGTGCTTTTTTTTGCAATTACGTAGAGACCAAACTGTTTGAGTAAAGCTCCTGTGGACTTATTTTCTATCGATTACGACTCATCTTTCGTTAAATGTGTTTTATTGGCGCCTTGAAACGAAGTAAGTACGTGCATATGTATAATATGGAATTAACAATCAAGGAAATGCAAGACTAGAAATACAGAATATTGTGGTGAAACTTGTCTTCATCCTGAACTTTTCATCTTACACTTAACGAAGGGTAAATTAGGATTTGCCTGGTTTTTACTTAAGCATTCATGAAATAATCAGTTCGGGAAGTTAAACGCTGAAAACCATAGCAATACTGCTTCCGATGAAGGAAAACAACTCAAGGCCACTCAGAAAGTGGCATTACATCGTCGTTTTATAATCGATAACAGAATCCTTGGAACCTTTTAGCCATCACGGAAACATTACAGCATTTAGGTTTTTAAAATCATGTAAGAACATGAAGCAGCAGGCTCGTAGTACATTAAGGTGGTAAGACATCCGATAAATTTTATTCGTGCCTTAAATTATGCATTGCCTCTATTTCATTTTTTACGGTCTTTTTAAGGACAGGAGTCTATGAGGAAACGGTTGCAAGATCCTTTTTTCCTTATAACTCTACTTTTGGTGTGTTGTCTTGTAAAAAAAAAAAAAAGAAAAAAAAAATAGAAATTATAATTTCCGCGTAACTTAACCAGCCCAGGGAAAATAGAGGAAAATTAATACTGCCTTCATTTGCGGATTTTTGCCTATCTGATAACAGGAATTTAGGATAATTTTATGTCTCAATTCCGCGCTCAGATATTTCCTCATGATTTCAGCTGAGATAAAGGAGGTTAACACATAAAATGCTTGGGACAAGACAAATTTGAGTAAAGTTTTTAATTTTTTTTGTTGATGTCGCTGTTGCCGCTGTTATATTTTAAATTCCTAACTTTTTGTACAAAAAGGCCCTCGATAAATAGCTCCATCCCTCTCCCTCCCAAAAACGGTAAAAAAAAAAAAAGTTGAAACAAGAACAAAAATTGGTAGCATCGAGCATCACTTGTCTTTTGTAGAGAGCATTTTCGATATTATTTTAGGGAAGAGAACAAAAGCCATTAATAAAAGCTATACGCAAATTTTTCTCAAGTTCCTTTTCTATTTCATGATCGATAAGTCATAAAAAAAAACTTTATTCTTCTTTATAAACCTTTTTCTCTTCCTTCATTATACAGGTCCTTGAAAATTCAGATTTTTCCTACTTGAGTTTACACGATCGCCTTTGGTTATTTAGACCGATTATCATAGAAAGAGGAAATTTATGCTAATTTCAATTGAGACAAGCCATCTTTTTTCTGGCATCACGCCACAGATTCATACATGGGGTGATGTATGAATAAATTCAGTATACATTGGACAATTCGAATTTTTCCAGGAAATAGTAAACTTAGATTAAAAAATGTCAAACTCTATATTTCCCAAACCAGAAATATCGAAATAATCGGCAATTTAACGGTCGACAGATGCCACCTGCTATTGAGGTGAGTACCTTTAAAC